CCCTAACCCTAACCCTAACCCTAACCCTAACCCTAACCCTAACCCTAACCCTAACCCTAACCCTAAACCGAATATACTTACTTCTTTCTTATAGTATATTTTGTCTTATTAGTTTTCTCTCTTACTAGGTAGAGCTGTAGCTTGCAAACGTTAGTAACTATCTAGGTATTAGTAAATAAGTAAACCTTTTATATTTTTATACTAACTTAGTATAGTTAAGTATTAGAATATAAATATCTTATAACTATTAAGAGAGGCTAATATAATATAACTAATATTTAAGTATACTTTAAAGATTAAACACGTCTAATAATAATAACACTACTAACGCTAATAGCTCTTCTCTAGAGGTAATACACTAGGTTTTTAATAGGTACTAGTTAAGTAGTAGCTTAGTCTAGTATATAAGATTACTTATTACTAAGTAGCTATAGTCGCTAGCTACTATACTACTAGGTAGATAGAAGTATACCTATCTAACCTCTATATAGTAGCTTCTTATAGAAAAGTAACTCTATAGTTTACTACTAAACTTATAGACATAGACTCTTCTATAACGTTATAGCTCTAGAAGTAGAAATAATATTTATAACTAAGTAGTAACTATATAAGTTAGAAAGTAGTAGAAATAGAATAGTAGAAAATTATAAGTATAGTACCTACGTGCTATTAGCGCACGCACGTAAAGCGCCTATATAACGTAGTCTATACGTAGTAAGAGTAGCGCTTTAGCGTATAGCGTATAGTATAATTAAGAACTAACCTCTATACTACTATAGCGTATAAGTAGTAAGAGAGGTATAGTAGTATACTACGTACGCTAGAATAGATAGCTAATCTATATACTATAGTAAATATTATATACTAGTATTATAAAAAGAATATACACTATTATAAATATAGTAAGTATTAGACTTTATATTATATTTACTAACTACTTTTAAGAATATAACTAGAGTAAGCGCTTCTTTACTAAAGACCTCTAATAAAACGTAGTATGTAGTTTGTATTAATCTTACTTAAGATAATAACTTTCTATAATATTATTATATACTCTTAACACTACTAAGTCTACTAGCGTATAAGCTAGCTTATATCTACCTTAATAAACGCCTCTATAAAGAGAATATCTTACCTCTTCTATATCTATAATAATAGCGCCTAAATACTTTACTAAGGTACTCTAAGAAGTATTTCTCTATATCTAAGTTATTCTTCTTACTAGACGTATACGCTATTTAGTTATTAGATAACTCTTAGTATAAGAATATTATATTAGATAAGCTTCTTAATATTAAGTCTATAGATAAAGTAGTCTTATACTTCTATACGTAGTATCTAACATAGTTAATAGAGATAATATAACTTAGCTCTATTAAGTCTATATAGATTATAGATTCTAGAAGTGTTAAGAGCTAGCCTATAGTATAAGAACTAACTAGAGAGCTTTATAAGTGTAGAAATAGAATAATCTATTATCTATCTTACCTCTAGTAGTATAGTATATATTACGCAAAGTTTTTTATTTCTTTTAGAAAGAATAGAACTTTATAAGTTATTATTACTTTAGTAAATTTAACTTCTTAGAAGTAGAGTTATAAGAGTTACGTAGATAGCAGAGAGAAGGCTTCTACTTTAATAGATAATATAGCCTTTATAGTAGACTTTCTTTTATAGACTATAATAGTAGTAGTGTTAACTTAGTCTAACTTTTAAATTAAGTTTTAGAATTTTCTATAATATCTTTAGGTTTAGCTATTATTACTAGTAGCTATTAATTAATACAACTTTAGCGTATATATATACCTTAGTTTTGTATATATAAAGTATATTCTACTACTATAAGTATTAGTTCTAGCTAATAACTATTAAGAGATCTAAAAGTAGCTCTATCTAGGTTTAAATCGCTAAGACGCGCTATAGTAAGTCTTAGACTTACGCTAGTAAAATAGTATATATACCTTATTCTATATATATATTATAGCACTTTAATAATTAGCTATATTAGTAATATATTCGCTAAGTAGCTATTTAGCGCAATTTAAGACTATAAGCTAGAATAAGTAGTTATTAAGAACGCGCTAAGAGAATTACGTATTTATTATCTCTTCTAATTATTAGCTCTTACTACTCTAAATAGTAATCTACGCTATATATTCTATTTAAAGAAGCTAGTAGAGGGTTATAGAATATACTTAATTTTAGATTAATACTTAGTAGATATAAAAAAGAGAAGGTAGCTTATATACGTAAAGATAATATAGATCTAGTAGTAGAATAATAGCACTGCTAAAAACAATATACTTCTACGCTACTACTTAATCTTTATAAGTTTATAGAATATATTATTCTTAGCGTAGAGTAAAGAGAGCTATAAGTGTAGAGTATTATTTCTAATACCTAGGTATCTATAGAAGAGTAGAATTTACGCTAATATTAGTGTTACTAGTTTATATTATAATGTAGACAAGGCGTAGTTTAATAGATAGACTAGAAAAAGAAAAATATATTAGACTTAAGGTAAAATCTATATACCTTACGCTGTATAATATAAAAAGCTATAGCTCTAGAAGCTATAATAGAGTTATAGAGTATTCTAGTATTATACGTAATATTATATTATATATAATATTATCTTATACGTAGCGTTAGCTTATATACAACGTTAGCTTATATATAATATTAGCTTATACGTAATAGAGTTAACTCTAATAGAAGACTATAATAGTCTTAGATAAGTTTACTAGAGGTAAGATAAGGTAAAGTTATTAGAAGTAAGCGTAGATATAAGTAGAATAGATAGTATAATATAGATAGTTATCTACTAGTACTATATTAGCTTAGTTATATCTTAGTAATCTATAATACTTTATAATAGCCTATAATAGGCTATTATAGACTATCTAGGCTATAAGTAGAAAATATTAAAATTAGAAAAACTTATCTAATTATTATTAGTTAGTATAGAAGTAATAGTTAAAAAATCTAAAAGATCTTAATATAATACTAATAAGACGCTAGCTACTAGTATAGATAGTAGTGTTTACTATAATATTCTAATATTATCTATTTTAGTAGTAAGTAAAAAAATTATTAAGTAAAGGTAAAAATAAGTCTAAAAAATAGCTTTCTTCTAATATAGCGTATTCTATATTTACTAATATATATCTTAACTACTACGTAATAATAATCTATATAATAGCCTATCTTAGCTTAGAATAACTTACTCTATCTAATTCTAGAGAATTAGAGCTAAGAAAGAGAATATTATTAGAAACTTATATTCTAAATAGTTAGATAATATTATATAACCTAACCTAGCGTAAGTATAAGTAGATCTAGAGAATTATTACCTAGAAGGTAATAATTTATCTCTTCTTACTAGATAATATACTATTACTTTACTATCTTTTATATTCTATATTAATTAGTAGTTACTTATCTAATAAATATTAGTATTACTAGTTTATATTATAATATAGATAAAATATAGTTTAATAAATAAGCTAAGAAAAAAGAATATATTAAACTTAAGTTAAAATCTATATATCTTATACTATATAATATAAAAGGCTATAGCTTTAGAAGCTATAATAGAGTTATAGAGTATTCTAGTATTATATATAATATTATTTTATATATAATAGAGTTAACTCTAATAGAAAACTTCTTAAGTATCTATATAGTTAATATCTAGAAGATTAGAATTAATATCTTTCTAGATATCTTTCTTATTATAGTATTACTTAAAAAGTATAGACTAGATATTCTAGTTAGATTACTACTTAAGAAGTATATCTATAGCTATAATAGCTATATTATAATTACTTATATTTATAAAGTAGAAGTATAAGATTAATATAGAGAGTTAGAGAATAATAAAAAAGTAAATAGTAAGTAAGTAATTATATAGAAAAAGTTCTAATTATAAAATATTTAGAAAGAGTAGAGTAGAAATAAAATTAATTAATCTATCTTCTAGTAAGCTTTAAATATAGTAGAAATTACTTCTATAATTAAGTAGCTAGACTTATAACTATTAGAGCTAGAGATAATTAATAATTAGAGATAATTAAGTATATTATAATTATTCTACTATAAAAGAAAGTTAGAATAAAATCTCTAGCTATATATCTAAGAGCTAAGTAATTACGTATCTATAATTAGATAATTATAACTACTCTCTAACTTTAATATAACCTAATATAATATATTATATTTATCTACTATAGTAAGCTTATACAAAATACTAACTCTTTAGATAATCTAAAGTTTTAATATTTCTTACCTCTTAGCTACTATAGTAACCTAATATAATATATTATATATATCTACTATAGTAGGTAATTATATTATTTTAAATAGCTAATTAGATCTTATAGACTTAACTAATTAGCTTTTATACTTCTATATTAAGTTATTTAGATATAAGACTCTACTTTATAGAGAATAAAGTAGCCTAGTATTATATATAATATTACTATATACGTTATAGAATTAACTCTAATAGTAGATAGAAGCTTTTTCTATTTCTCTTAAGTTCTGTCTAAAGAAAGGTATACGCAAGCCTAAGATAATTAAAAGGAGTTTGTGCGAAGGTAATTCAATTATCTTGTGTTGCATCCTGCTACTTGTCTATATCTATTTACATCGCGCATTGCCCTGTCGGGAAGCATTGCAGGTTATCAATCGCGAAAGTCGTTCCCGCAGCGAGAATGTTGGCATTGTTGAAGAGAACGAGAACTAAAACGGTATGCTGGTCTTGTGCATTCGCGACTCCCGAACCGCCTACCGTGTTCCAAACAGCCGCTTCTGGACTCGTCGGCAACCCCGTGAACAAACCGTTCGACGCACCGTTCTGCGGATGGTACACGAGTTGATTATCGATATACAAACGGGCTTGCACGGTGTATCTTGGGCGATTGTCGGCCTGAACTATCTTGAACCCGACCGTACAGTTGTAGTTGCTGCCGGCTGGGATGTAGACGTTGTCGAGCGTGAACCTCCACACCTGGGCTCCCGTGTACCGATTGGTCAACGTGGTGTAAAGCGCATGTGATCCGTCGAGCGGCGCGAAGGGTGCCACATCAGCGGAAAGAACCTCGGTCTTGCCGTACAAAGTATTGGTGGCGTAGGTATTGGTCCAGGGTGCGATGGCTCCGCTTTCGAAAGATGGATTGTAACTCGCGGCGAGCGTGTTGCAGGTCGCTGGGGCCGACGTGGTGGATGTCGCGACGCTCGAAGTCGCTGGGGACGAGGAAGCGAGTATCTCCGGGAGTGGCGACGGCGTCTCGGCCACTGAGCTCGTTGCGGTCTCTTCGGTTGGTGTGGGGGTGGTTTCGGTGGATGCGACAAGCTCCGACGATGGCGACGTGCTGATCACGGGGGCAACGGTGGAGGAAATGGTCTCGGTCTCGATTTCCATCGGTACAACCCGGGATTCAGTGGATGCTGGCGTGGGCGTGGTGACCGGCTCGACAGACGTCTCGAGCACGGTAGTCGATGCGACGGAAGAGACAATCTCGATTTGCGAAGAAGAGACCTCTGATGTAGCGAGCGGCAATGCAGCTGTGCTCAAAATCTCGGCAGTAATGGTAGGCGACTCCACGTGGCTAGCTAGGACGCTGGAAGAGCTGGTGACAGAGTCCGTCAAGGCGGTGACCTCTGACGATGCGAGCGAGGCTGGAGACTCGCGAGGTGCAGACTCAATCTCCGGGCCCGCTGTTGACTCTGAAGTGGCGTCCAGCGAAGACGAGCTCTCCACGGCGGTAGCCGATGCGCTTGCGCTTGTTGCAAACGTACTTAGGTACAGGCTTTCGACCGACGGAATCGTGGATGGAGAAGATGGAACCGCGTCGGCGAGCGATGCGCTGGTGACCTGGGACGAGGTAGCGGAAGACGACACGATGCTTGACGACGGGGTAGATGATGGATCTGCGTGTGTAGTCGTGGTTGGACGCGCATTCGCCGGTGCAATTGGGGCCTTCACAGGCGAAGACGATGCGGATGAAGCGGACGAGGCGGACGAGACAGGCGAGGATGCAGGCTTACAATTACCGAAGCCTGGCTGGCAGCCGCTACCGCAGTATGCATCGGTACTTCCACTGTCGCGCATTAGTATACAGTATCATGTGATAGAGTATGTAATCGCCGAACGTACCAGTATGAGTATTTACTGCAGCAGTCACCCCATTTGGATCCAGCACAGGTCATTCCGAGGGGGGACGCTTGGTAGGCACTTCCGCATCGCGCATTCGTAGAGATCTTGTGGGCAGCAGGTTTCGTGGCGGTCGATGAAGCGGTGGAGGCAACGCGAGTTGATGTCGACGATGAACGCGTCGTGGTAACAGGAGTGGCGGCAGCTGGACCTGAGCAGGAACCGAAAGCAGGGTTGCAGCGTGAGCCGCAGTATGCGTTAGACGATCCGCAGTATCCGTACCTGGAAGTGTGTTGCGATTAGCGCGCTGTCCACGTGATATCGTGCCTTTCGAGGGTGACCTACTGCGAGCAACAGTTGCCGAATGCAGACTTCAAGCATGTGAAGCCACTCTTTCCGCCGCAAGTTCCATCCTTTGACACCTTTGCAGATGCCGAGATCGGAACGGGCGAGACATTACACTTCCCAAAGCCCGACTGGCACCCGGAGGCACAATGAGCGGAAGTCTGGCCGCAGTAGTTGTATTGCGAGCAGCAGTTGCCGAAAGAGGAACCGGCGCACGTCAGACCAAAGCTGCTTCCGCAGCGGCCGGTCTTGGAAATGCGCGGACTGCTCACAGCAGCATTGATAATGGGGAGAGCAGCAAGAAGTGCAAGGACAATCGATCGCATGATGCCGAATTAGGTATTAAGAATTATTGGTGAGATGGTGATGGATGCGAGACTGAACGAATGACGAGGCGGTCGAAAAGAAGGGCTGCCAGACAATGTCCGACGAAGGAGATAATAAGACAGGGTGCGCGATGCTTCATGTCGAAGGCCATAGCGATGATATTTATGGCGCTCATGATTGCATCGCAGTCGTGCTGGTCGCCGCTTCGACCGAAAAAGTAGAGCTACACCACGCGAAAGCCACAAGCGGGTCAATGGGGCCCTCTCGCGAAAGCGAACTCAATGCGATGAGCTGAAGGCCGCAATAGGAAAGCCATGGACCTTTCGAAGCTGTCGTGATGTTGGTCGAGAGGATGTAGGAGATCTAGATTGTGGGAGCCGTACGATGTTCGCGGAGCCGCCGAAGATCAGCACCATTTGGGCTAGGCTGCCGCGACTAGCGCCCGCCCTCTGCGCCACAGGGGTGAGCTTGACGATGCGAGCAGTAATTCACGAAGTGTTCAATCTCCACAGACGACAACGGGGCAGAAAGCAAAGAGTACGCCTTTCGCTTGGACTGTGGTCTGGACCTCGTTCAAGCTGGGTCATGCAGGTGTTACTTTGGTATACGGCATGATCCAGAAGAGACGATGGGGCAAGGAAATGTGTCAATGCCCAAGCGAACTCCTCCTTCGCGCAATAGCTTTGCTCTGGGCTCCGCGCTCGGACCTGTATTGTTCTCGCGAGGGAGATTGAGTGAGTACATTGGTGAGTCGGTGAATCGATAACGGTGGTTGTCATAGCTTTCCATTACAAGTTAACATCATTCTACATCTGCGTAATCTTCACCGTCCTCATAATCCCATTGTGCCCCGCTGCAGCTGCATCAGCCGTCGCATTGTATTTATCCTGCTCCCACTCCATGTTCAACTCGATCGTACTGCCACTCGGACTCGCATTCCCGCTGGTGACGTGGACAGTATGATGTTTCGAATCATGATTACTGAGCTGGATATCGTTTCCGCCGTGCTGGCTTCCTTGTTCCAGGTACCCTGATCGTGAAGGGTGGGCGGAATTCCACATGCGCGAGTGCTTACGAGAGGCGCTATCATGCGTCGAAATTTCACCAAACACCTGGCGGAGCAAGGGACGGAGCGTGGCGGCGGCGGAGGTCGCAAGGCCGATTCCGGTTTCGACGGTAGACCATATCGCGACGTCGGTGGTAGTGTATAGAAAGTCGGGTATATCGTTGAGGCCGTTTATGAATGGGATGCGGACGACTGTTGCGGTGGAGCCACTGGTGTTGAGTTAGCATACGATGCAAGGAGGACTCTAGAGGCGTAATGAGCTTACATAGCGCAGCAGGCGAGTACAACAACCACCGTCATCTTCTTCCTCTTGTCCATCTGCAAGTTGTGCACGATGAAGATTGGAACAATACTGAAAGTCCAGTCCGTGACACAGGACAGTGCAGAGTAGCCGTAGAACGAGTTCACGACGAACCTAGAGGGGATGCAATGTCCTTTGCCGCCGCGGAACTGTTCCCAGAAGAACGAGACAGGCCAGCATTGGAAGGTGAAGACAAAGAAGAAGTACACGCTGTATACTTGGATGGCGATGAGGGCGATCCAAAGAATCATGCGATGGGTTCTATCCTGGGCAATGCGCAGAAGGAAGATGCCGATGCTCATCTTGAGGAAGATATTCGTAACAACGTATGTGGGCTCGCAAGTCCACCACCACTGGTTCGAGTTATTAGCCTCATGGAATATACTGTGGACGTGGTATTACACACCTTCATACCGATGGGATACTTTTCATCCGGTATGAGATATCGTCGCTTCCCGGTCCCATTTTGGACACCTAGCAGCGCGGAGCTACAATAGACCAAGAAGGCTGCCAGGGTAAGGACAGAGAAGTAGTCATCGGCCGCGAAGTTCTTCACGAGGACCAGCTTGCAGTAGCATCGAAGCAGTACTAGCAGGGTGCAAATACAGATGAAGAAGCCCAAGACACCGGTGAACTCTCCGGATCGATCATCTCGCGGCATGGTTGTCGGTGGAAATGTGGTTCAGAAATCGGACCAACTCTGAACCCACATGCGGGGAGACGGCTATTATTCTGTCCAACCTTCGGCGCGTCCTTTTCCATAGGGGTTGACGAGACTTGGAACAAGACCTCGATACGAGCGCCATGCATGCAGGGACAGGAGAATGGCCTGTGTCGGTGAAGGATTTTCCTTAAGGCGGGCAACACGCGAGAAATCCATGGATGATCCACGATCCGTCTCCACAGCGGCTGGACCCTGACTCGGATTACGATGGCTTGACGTGATGCTACTTGATCGCTTGGTAATCGCGAAGCTCGGTGAAAACCCACGGAAGGCTGGAAACTGGGCCAATCTCCGGGAGAGTGGTTCCAAGTGTTCTTGGTCGGTTCCATGTGGCTGATCTAGATCTGCGCGGCCTCACCAGGAACTGCCGCTTGAGCCGCATCTGTTGATAACTCCAACATCGAGCATCTCGAATGTATCGTAACGTCTTGCTAACACTTTGATGTGATCGCGAGTGTGCGACACGACTTCCTGATGTTAGAGGTAATCGCAAATATGTGCGAACAAAAATGGTACTCTCGATGACACTTGCAGCTTATTCCCGAAGTCCGCTGTCTGTAATGCACGCCGCTTCAACGCTGCCGCTGTCAATTCAAGCGTGTCGTATGTCCCTGGTCAGTAATCCTTGGGAAGTGATGCCCGACGCCGGGCTTCAAAGCAGAGGACGAAGGTATGCAAGGGATTCATGTTCGCGGGCTTTGCGATTGTGGAATGGGTGGTCATGAGCTGCGGGTGGCTGCGCAACGCGAGACGCCGGGAGCACATCAATGAAGCCGTATCGCAAATTTTGATTCGCGCGGTGGGTGGAAGGTCGCGGAAGAGGCAATCGACGCCGCAGAGTGACAGCGGGCTGATGGTGGTAAATCGGAAACGGGGGTTACGCGATCCGGACGATGTTCGCCGGGTTGGGCAGACCTGTTCGGGTTAGGCTGAATCTAGCTAGCGGCCCCTTTGACGCGCCCGACAGGAACGCCCCCGCCATGGGCGTAACCTTGACTTCACCACCTCATACGTGAGAAGAGACGTTTTCTCAAGGCCGCCACAAGCACGACGATGACCTAATACTTGCGATATCCTGCGGTACCCCGACGCCACTGCCTACGTCGGCGAACAAGTCAGCGTGCGATGCCACGCTGTGGGATCGCTGCAGCCTGGCACTGCCAACATGCACTCCCACGTTCTGGACCTGTCATAGTGACTAGCAACTGCTGCATCGATGGCGAATAGCTGAAACCTGGCTCAAAGAACAGTCGTTGGGGTTGTTCTGGAACCCGCGGGATGATCCCCTGCCCGTCGCGTCCCTCAATTTTGAAGCCTTCTTCCACTCGTCGTATCGCTGATCATCGCTGATGCAGGCGCGCTGCAGATTGATGGCAATGAAGTGGCGCTCGAACGCGACGTCTCGCGCCGCGATCTGGGGCGAAACACGGACAGATGCATTCCAGGGCGAGACGTGGTAAGCTGTCATTTGAGCAGCGCTGCGCCACTGGCGGTAGCTATGCGCACTCTCCTTTGGTTGTAAGGCTTACACATTGTAGGCTCCAGGCAGTTCATACTTACACAAGCCGTGGAAATTTCGCCTGATGCATACGCTCATTCGCAGCCCATCGACGCATCTTTGCATTCCCAGAACTTACAACAACCATAGGCTTATTTTGTGTATTCTGCACCTGTACAGATAAAACACCAAACAGACGTGCGGCCTACGTTGCCCTACGTTTGACTCAGGACAAAACCAACAAGACTACGGCATGTCTCTGCAGTCTCACGAAACGAAGCTATGTCGCAGGTGCGGTTTCGCGTGGTGGGCCAAAGGACACGTCGGAAGAGAAGATCAACATCACGGAGAGCAATCAAACTGAAGTCGTTGACCGAAAGGATGCATGCCGTGTTCGCGGCCCCGGGGCACCGAGTGCTAACACTGTTCGGGTAAAGCTGCCGGGTCTAGCGGCCTTCGGACAGGAAGGCGCCATCCCGCGCACACGCTCCAGGTGAGCAACAACAACTTTGAGGCCCATCAGGATCGTGACTACGCCAGCTCCCACAGTCGCCAGCCCGCGCAAGGGTGACGGACACACTGCGGCATCTTCCGATGGCCGATGACGCGACGCAGCCTGCTGCCTCCAGCAGTTCTCAGGCTCCGTGTCACATCGGGCAGGCGCTCTTTCCTGCAGCCGGCCAAGGTGTGCCGCAATCCAACGCCGGCATCAAGCATGCCGACAAACAATTGCGACGTCCATAGCGCATCAATGCTTCGTTATCCGCAGCGCAGCCGTTCGGGTTCAAAGAAGAG